CTCGGAATAAATGCTATGAATAATACACAAATATTTTCTTCTTCCTCTGCATTACAATAGCATCTTTCTCTACTTCTATTTGCTTCTTGTTCATCTCTGTAAACAATTCTTGCTAGTTTATCACTTATTTCGTTGATATGTGGAATTTTTTATGAAAATAAAAGCACAATTCAAATGAGCATTAACTATTTGGGTATTTTTTTTTTAAAATAGGGCAAATTATTATCTAAACAATTGTTGTGAAAGTAATTCTTTTAAAAAAAATGTAGAAGTTAGTTTTAAAAAATATTTGATGGGTTGATAAATTGAAAGATAAATTTTTAATGAAAAGAGAAAGAAAATGATTAAATAATTAGAAGGATTGATGAGAACAAAATGACTTTGTATTTTTGAATAAAAAGAAAAGATAAAATATAATAAAAATTAATGTCCTTTTAAAGGTTAAATTATGACATGGGGGGGAAATTCCATCCTCTGAGAACCAATCCCCCTTAGTAATTCATTTATTGATTTAAAAAAACATAAATTTCATAAGGATAAATTTTGTTCCCGTTAATCTCCCACTTAACACTTTTAACCCTCTATAAAACATAACTTCATCTATCATATTTATATTAGATTGGTGATCTACATTACTGAGCCAGTTTAATTTCTTTTAAATGTAAAAGGAATGCTTAAATGAAACTAGCATTTTTGAAAAAACAATTTGAGACTTGAACTATTAGCTTGAGTAGGTTTAACAAGCTGAATTTAATTTAGTACTAAATAAAAAAATTTGGCAAAGAATAATTGCGAAAAATAAATGATGTTCAATATTATATATAAAAAAAAGATATGCCCTAACATTTTTAAAAGATCTTCTTAGAAAGAAAAAAAACTAAATGAAAACGTGATAATACCATAGAAAGTAAAATAAATAAATAAATAAATAATATTTAATTTCTAGCAAATTAAATGTTGAAAACTGAAATCATTTTAAAAAAATAATTTTAAAAAAGAAAAAAAAATCAACCTAAGCCAGCCTCTGAAATCCATAACCATTTGTAACACCAAGATAATCTTGTGAAAATCCAAATTAAATAAAATTATGAAGGTTAATTCTCCAACCAACCTAATAGTGAAGGGAGAGATTGAAAAAAAAATTTAAAGCAACGAAAAAAATATATGAGTTACCCTATGTTAACCTACTAAACTCGAGACCTACGACATGAAATCGAGATAACATCATAGAAAGAGAAATGAAGAAGATCATGAAATTCATTCTCTAATCAACCCAATATTGAAGATTGAAATTGAAAAAAAATTGTTTTTTTAAAAAAGATCAAAGTCATGTTGAGCTAATATTTTAAACTAATGATTTAAATCATGAGATCAGAATTACCTTATAAAAGATAAACTCAAAAAATTACAAAAAGATTCAAACAACAACTTCAAAAGTTAAGGGAAGAAATTTGTCGCACCCGACATCGCGGCGGCCTTAAAAATTTTGATGGAATGGAAAGAATGGATTTTTGACATCCTATTCTTTGATGGGGAATTGTCTTTATTTAAGGAGTCGCCACCTAGTATTATGGTTACTAGGAACCCTAACTGGTCAATAGAGATTCTATGGTCCGTGACTGGTTACGTAAAAGGAAAGATATTATCACCCCTTAAACGTCCTACCTAAGGTAGGCTGCATTGCTGCTCTTTGTCCTTAATTGCTAACATTTTTTTTGTTGGTTTATACTATGGTTGTTTGTGTATAATATTCCTGACTCTGACGCCAGTGAATATTCAACTACGGATATTTCTAACTCTGGCGT